CTTTTATCCTTAAATATTCTTGTTCTTATATTATTATTTTTTGCAAGTTTACTTTCCTATTCATAATTAGCTTATTCATTTTCCAAATTCTAATTATTCATCTTCACAATTAGTTTTTGAATTTCACAAAAAATATTTCACAAGCACTTCAATGGCATCTCTGTGGATGAAATGTTTGCTTCTCGAGTGACACATATTCTTACTTGTATTCATTTCCACAAAGCAAATCTTATTCAAATGCGTTTTACAATTTTTTATCCAACCTTTTAAATAGTAATATTATTATTCTCTTCTGCCTTAAATTTTGTCAAGCCATTCTAATTTCATTCATCATAATACTATGACTCAAAATTCTAAATGTCTTTTCTTTCATGATTTATAGTTTTTCCAAACAAAATTCTTCAAAGATCAATGACCAATTCATCACTTGAAAGAAAGAGAGTTGAAGATAGTTGGTCGAACATTGAAATGAATAGTTCCAAGGTACAATTTACCATATTAAGTAACATCAAGAGAATATGATGAGAATATTTACCCCAACCAAACAAAAGAATATTATAAATATTTCCTCAAGTTTTATTACTAATTCCATTTCTTTTATTTTATTATCCCTGCAAACTGGGATAAACACATTTTGTCCTTCTTTTACCTCATTTTTGTTGCTTCTTTATAGTCTTTTCTCGTATCTTTTTTCTTCCAATGAAAAGATTTAAAAATCCTTTAATCCATCTGATATTTAACTTACCATATTCGATCAATTCGTTTCCAATTTATTTTTATCATAGATGGCCTCGATTATTGCAAATATGGGTGGAGCAAGTATTCCTCTCCATCTGGACAATCATCCACATTTTTGGTGAGTTTCTATTTGTTGTTAGTAATGTTATAATTTCTAAAGTAATTGTGAATTTACGAATTGTTTTGTCCTTTTGATCAATACTAAAATCTTCAATTTTTAATTTATTTTTAAGTTCTTTCAAAATACAGGAATTTGGAAACATTTTATCTGATGACTTCTACAGTTTGACATTTCTTTTCAACAATTTGATTCAATTTTATCTAAGAGCCAATCTTGAATTGGGAAGAAATTTTTGAAAATGTTGTTGACGAAGTTTGTTTTCCAACCATGTGTGAAATAATTTCTCTAATTTAGTTTGGTAAGACCTCCAAGTATTCTCATGTGATGTAGTGGATATGAAAGGTAGTTTTGCTAAAGATCTTTGTCTTCCTTAGTTCATTGTGGGGATTTTTATGCTAGAGTTACTTATTATTATTATTATTATTATTATTATTATTATTATTATTATTTACAACTGCACAAGACAAAATGTACTTCACGATAATCCAACACATTTAACTCGCTAATATTACCTTCAAGATGACCAAACCCATGCATTGCATAGGCAAAGACTAGTGTTTAAAGAAAAAAATCACATGTTATCAAATTAATTTTGATATACGTGACAGATGATTATGCTTATGAAAATTATTACATTAACTAAACTTTGAAAGAATTAAACTTTCTTGCGGATAACTTGTTATGAAAAGAGAGAAAAGAAAAGAAAATAAAGATAAGTCAATAGACTTTTATGTTTTATTAATAACCAAAGCCCTGTATTTATAGAACAGAATTAGGCATATAACGATAATAATTTCTAGGGCTGTAAGGTTACTATTGTTATTTACTTGTAAACCCTAATAAACTTTCCATTTACAACACTAAAAAGTATTTTGATTAATTATTAATAGAGAAAATAGTCATGTCATCATTTTCAGCATACAAATTATACTCTTGTATGGTGGTGAATTTAAAGTTGACAATTAATATTAATCAGACATTTTATAGAACTCACAACTTTTTAATCAAACATTCATCAATTTTTATCAAAAGTTATTAAAATTTTGATTTTAATCCCTAACAACAAGGGCTGGAGCTTGTTTTAGAGAGGTTTTCCTTTTTTTTTTTTTGTATGAGAATGGGTATTTAAAATATAGAAGATAATTGTGGATCTCAAAGAACGTGTATTTGAAAATGATTTTGGGGAGAATTAATTTTAAAAAACCTCTTTAAAACAAGTCTCAATTATTTGGTAACTTTCGAAAAATGGAGACGACTTACTTAAACTCAAATAAACATGAAAGTTTGATGATGACTTTCAGAGAAGAAAGTTTGATCATTAAAACTAAACAACAATATTAGTTCGATAACTAATGGAGTTTTCAAATTTCAAGTCAGCTTGTTTTCAGTAAATTAACTAAAACCTTTGTTCTTTCAGCAGATTCATGGTCCATTTGGTTTCACCACCTTCGATTTCTAACGCTCCTATTGCCTTGAGATAATTATTAACATTAATAAATACTCCCATACTTGTCCTCCTAAGTTTGTATTTTCTTTTATTTTCATCAATAATGAATACTTCGTTCTTGTGGAAAAGACTGAACGGTGGGCAAATAATGTCCCGACCTATAACTTAAAAGGGAAAATTGCAGTCAATGTATCAAACCTTTCGTTTGTTAGCAAATTTGACCTAAACTTTTCGTTTGTGCCATCGAAGATATTAAACCTTTAAAAAAATTGTACATGGGATCCAAATGGATGGAAATCGTTAATTTGATTGTTAATTGACCAAAGAATTTACATTGATCATAATTCTGACTAATTTCAAAAGGATGAAACGGTAATTTTACATTTTTTCAATAGAGGACATAATTATAATATATTAATAATTAAATCATAAAAAATTCAAAACATAAACCATCCAACACCATCCCCTTGTTCCTCAACTACCACTAGAAGCAGCGATCGACACCACAGCCACCTACCCATTATCGGCACTACTGCCCACACAGCCTTCGCCGCGCCACCACCGTACAATAAAACAGCATATCTAATAGGAATCAAATGGGATGATAAGAAAACTCCCAGTTTCGTGGCTACAATTAAAACTTCGAAGTGGTCCACCATTCACAGAACATGGTCTGAGGTGCCTGGCTTTTGCAAAAACAGCCGCCAGCCTTTTGAATTTCACAGGAATTCCCATCTTTGTCCATGTCTTTTATCGTTAAACTTTAATGGTTGCTTTATCCAATTATCCAACCCAACTATCAAACCCTACTGTTCATATGGCAAAACAAGCTTTATTTGAGGCTCTATCCCTCAAAAAATCCAACAATAATTTGCTCAATTCAGAGCCTTTCCCAATTTAGTAAGTGTTCGAGTATGCGAAGGAATTACACCCTCATAAGAATCAAATAAATGGTGTGTTTACAGATTTTTTTAACCAATTTTTCAACATTATTAAGAGTTTTAGATATTTCTAGGAATTTAATTTTCAGTTATTTGCATGATAATCTTGGAAATTTGTTGAATTAGAGGAATTTATAGTGGCGAATAATTCAATAACAAGTGAAATTCCCGTAAGTAGTGAAGAAATGCAAGTTTTATAGTGTTTAATCTCGGAAATAATTAAGAGTGTGGATTGTCTCTGGTGGTGGTGGTCATCGCGGTGGTGCCGACATTGGGTGGCATTTCTCTGGTGGTAGTTGTCGTCGTCATCGGTGATGTCGGAGTTGGGTGATGGTAGCAATGACTAATTTTCAAGGGTTAGAGTGGGAAAGTGCGTGGGGGGTGGTGGTGAACGAGACAACCCTTTTTTTTTTAAATTTCTTTTCCTTCTTTTTTTTCACATTTTAATTGTTTAGGTGGAAATATTATTAAGTTATCAATTTGCCCTTTGTAAATATGATGAAAATTATTTTTTGGAGTCAACTAATAGTCAAATTAACAGTTTCCATCCATTTCATCTCCGCGTGCAAATTGTTTAAAGAGTTGATGCCTCCAATGGCAGGATTAGGTCAAGTCTGTTAATAAATGAAAGGTTTGATGTCTTGACTGCGATTTTCCCTAACTTAAATGCATAGTCTAATTAAGAAGGCTTCTTCATTATTTAATGAGGACAAACATATACTACAATTGCTCGAATATAAATTTAACTAAAAAGTCGAGAGCCTGAGTAACAGAAGAATACATAAACACAAACATAGAAAACAAAAGTAAACTTGACTTAGTCGATACCTAAGGGCTTGTTTTGTAGATAGGACAATAGAAAACTTCAAAATCTTGACTATTGATTTTTTAGCTCTCTTGAATGTTGTGTGGCAGACATGTCCATTTGAAATTTGGATTAGCAATGCTCAAAAGACAAGGTTAAGTTGTAATATTTCTGATTCAATACAATTCATCCATGTAATACTATCTTCATAATGTTTACATATCCATCAAATGGTCAAGGTAAATCACAACATATGCATCACACTATGAACCTTCAATAAGGGCAGGAGCATGAACAGACAAAATTGTTCTGCTCCTTACCAGCTAAAAACCATATAAATCAACTAAGAAGTCGGTGTGTGCTTGGCCATTTTTACCAAATTTTGCTACCAAACTCATTTTCTACGGTATTTGACTGGTGACTGCCGTGCACATGCAAAACAGTGTCAGAAATGGACAGAGACAATATCATCCGTTGAGATTTGAAGACTAATTTGCCCTCAATGAAATAATAAAATTCCAAGTGAAGGGCAGGAAATGAAAAGAATTAAATTCTGACTGAAAGATAGAAATGGAAAGACACAAATTCCTAATTTCAAACAGAAACCTGAAACGATTTCGGCCTCAGCTTTTGTTAGGGTGGCTGTCTCATCTTCTGACACGGGGTCCACAATTGTTGACAAAAGATTGAAAAAAATGGGAAAAAAATTGGGGCCAAACAGGCTCTAAGCTTCAAAGCCATTCTAGCCCGAGCTGATTTGTTTGAATACAGTTACAAAATCCATAAGAAAAACAAGCCGTAGCATTGATCCGACTTATAATATTATTTATAGTTAAACTGTCTGCATGAATTCGGGCAATTTCTTGCTGCAGAACATTATTTGGTACTTTCTGCATGAAAGGAAAGGCACGGTATGTGAAGGCACTTTCATTTGTATCATACGTAATTAAAATATGCACATTTTCTTAAAACGTACCTGACCAATCTTCTGGCAGCGATGCTGAGCTTGAACAGTGCTTGCAATTGCTGTATTCAGATTGTATTTGAGGATCACTCTTCACTTCCTGCATAAGCATCTTCAGTTGTTTAGATCATTTTGGAATTAATTCATGAGGTCTTGAAAATTATGACCTTAACAAAAATTCAATCAAATAGTATCAAAGTAATGTTCTTTGGTAAGAAATTGCTTTCAAATATGGAGCAAGTCAAATTTTACTTCACATGGTTAGTACAACACATGAATAGGGTGCAACATATTATGGTCCACATAGGTTAGATAGGGTGCCCATGAGACTTCAAGATAGAACCTTTATATATGCAACATAGAATGTTTTAAAGACAATGAGGAGGGCCAAAGTATATTTCTTAAATGTAATGAAAATTCTCTATTTTAATTGCAGTAGTAAGTTTGGGAACATTTGGAATTACATATGAACCAGATGATATAATTTTCCCGATGCATAAGGAAACTTGCAACTGTAATAGCTAAAGACAGTTTAATTATTAGATTTTCTCTCTGACTGACCTGCGCCAAAGAAGCATGGTTGTGGCTGGGGGAGGGACTTGCACTGCCACCCACAAAGAAATGGTTCATATTTTCTTCTGCTAAATCTCTCAATCTATCAAGCTCAGGCAAAACAACCTTGCCTAAGTCCGGGCGGTCTTTCCTTCTTAGTTCTGCACATTGGATTGCTAGATTTGCAAAGTTCATGGCTTCTTCAACAGGCCAATTCGGCACACAAGGGTCCAGCATCTCTTTAAATGTCCCCCTTTCAATTGATCGGGCAACAAGGTGACTCAAGCCCATTGCTGGTTTGGCTGTTAATAGTTGTAGAAGCACAATTCCAAAGGAATAAATATCAGATTTAACCCCAAGCATTCCTGTTTGCTGATATTCAGGGTCAATGTAGCAGAATGTTCCAGCTGTTGATGTCATTCGGTATTGTGTTACATCCTCTGCTACAGAAGGAGGGACGAGTCTAGCCAATCCAACATCACTGATTTTGCTTACAAAGTTATTGTCAAGAAGAATGTTTCCTGGTTTGAGATCACGGTGAACCAGTGGCTCTGGCTTGGTTTGGTGAAGAAAGTGTAGGCCTGTGGCAATCTCTGCAGCGATACGGAATCGAAGTTGCCATGAGAGTGGCCGCGTGTTTCCTTTCCGGAAGAGACGGTCTTCCAAGCTACCATTAGCCATGTATTCATATACTAGACAACCATATTCTGGGCAAGCTCCAAGCAGTAAAACCATGTTGGGGTGTCTCATGCAACTCAGAACTTCAACCTGCATAAGGTATGTGCATAATTGTTGATTAAGTAAAATTTTATTCTTCAAGATACACTTTCTTGGATATGACGCAGTAAGTGTGATGCAAAATATGAAATCAGAAGCGCCTTATTTTATTACGAAAGAAATGCTATTTAGCAGTTAGTACTTTCTTTCACTCTCACCTCTAGGTGAAACTGTGACCTTCCTTGAGCAGCATCTGGGCGCAATACCTTAACTGCAACTAGTGTATGATCAAGACGACACTTAAAAACAGGACCATACCCTCCTTCTCCAATCTTTCGAGATTCATTAAAATATTCTGTTGCCTCTTCAATTTCATCAATAGTATATCTTCTGTATCTTAATGAAATTAATGGACTTGACGTGTCTTGATCCTCGCCTGATTCTTCAATGGCTTTCATTTCAGACTTCATTCTTTTTTGTGATTCTATTTCTTCAATTCTCTGAGCTGCTTCATTATTCTCTATGGTTGCCTTGGAGTTACCTTGCTCTTGTTGAGAAGTCTTTTTCTTTGCTTCCTCTGAAAATCGAGCCTCTTCTAATCTTTGTTCTTCTTCCATCCTCCATCGTTGGAGCTCCACTGCCTGTACCACATATAAGTTAGCAATCATACAGGATGGTGAAAATTTATAAGGAATATCTATTCTAACCTACCTTTTCTTTTGCTGTTAGAGCTTCTTTACAGGCAGTGCTATACATTTCCATTGTTCTCTGCAACTCTAGCTTTAGCCTTCTCATTTCAGCTTCAACATCATCCTGTAGAAGCAATCATCAGAATCTAATCAACATGTTCATCCAGTGATTTTATCATGAGGATGATATTACAAATGATTACAAACAAGTAATTTCATATTTTTAAGATGTATAAATATTTAAGATCCTGTCGTCAAGATGTTGTCCTTACATTTTCAAGTGAAGATGATGAGAAGTCAGTAAAAGAACTGAATGCGCTCCATTTGGCCACTGAGGGCATTGAGCCATTACTACTTTCTGAGCTGGTTGACAATCGTGAGGTTCTACCCGAATCCATGCCATCGAGGATCATACGATCCGTGCTTGGCCTATCAGAACTTATGAATGATATATCTGATTCAGATTCTGAGAGATCGCCGAACAACTTTCCATTGAAACCTTTTGGTGGCCTTGAAAATGGAGACCTGTATCTTAAAACATTACGGACAAATCTTGGCTTCTATATTTATTTTCTGAAAAAGGATGTTTTTCATATAGATTGGCAAATTTGACCCAAGGAGTTGGGGAACAGAGAGGGAAACAATAATACTTTTACTGGAGAGACTTACTTGAGTAAATCGTGTTCATCAAGAAGCATCAACTTTCGAGGTGTCCTTCCTGTAACTGCTCAACATTTTTGTTTGTATTACATAAACAAGATAAATTGGAACAGATGGAAAAAAATAATACAAATGGAAAGAAGGACAAACCTTTGAGACTGGGAGTATGCCTGGGAGTGGGACCTGCATCAGTGGAAAAATTATTACCACCATTAGGATGGTCCTGCATTTGGTGTATTTGGATATGAAGAGGGGAAGTGAATGGTGCTGGACGAGAAGCATTCCGCACAGCGGAGATCTTTGATTTCGAGATAACATAAACAGTGCAGAAGTCCGGCGCTACTTTGCATACACAGGTCGGTATGTCTACCGTCTTCAATCTCCTGTCGCAAACAGTATGTGGGAAATTTCTTGAGATTAAATTGGAAAAAAATTAAAGAGGATTTGGGTGATACAATTATGTTTTCAAAGCTCTAATTAAATCTAGTTTCTCTGTTAAACTGTTCAATGTATGTTCAATTCATTGTCTGCTTCATCTTGGTAATGGAATAAATTTATCTATATCATCACAGGCAGCACGAATAATTGAAGCTGAAATTGTTGAAGACAATAAAATAAATGTCCCTCACATCACCTACAGTTTAAGCTTTTAATGGTGATTAAATATTGTATCGGAGAACACAACTCACATGAGTTTTTAAGGCTCATATCAACCATTTATGAAAATCATGTGCATGTTGGGTGATGGAAAGTATAAATTTGACTTCTAGATGAGGTACTTCAACGGAAATAAAGGAAATTATAGTAACCTGATAAAACCATGACGAGATGCACCAAGAACCAAGTTCTCAATTGCAGCATGGGCAGCATAATCTGTTAGTGCTTTTGCTATGTCTGTATCCTCCAGTACCACATCAAAGCATTGTATCTGTTAACATGGATTTGCATGCAGTTAATCACAATAAAAACAGACAAGGTTTTGAGTACACTATTCAGATACTTATGTTGTTTAAACTCAAAAGCTTGTCTGGCGACAATTCAAATTGACAATATAAACACCCGAATTATTTTAGCTTACATCTTTGCGAGTACAAAAGCAATGGAAGGTAACGAATAGCTCTTTAGTAAGTCTTTCAAGTGTTTGCTGGCGCACACCTGCAGCTGCATACAGATCGTGAATGGAAAAATTGTTCGCAAATGTCCCTTGGACAAAAACAAGGAATTGAAATAAGTGTGTTGTCGCAGCTCTAGAGCTATCAGAATATCATTTCGTTATAGATTTAATATCGATAGATATTTCTGTAAAATACATGCCAAGCATACAATTAATATACATTCCTCATTCTTATAAAAATAATGGCTAGCCACAGGGTAAATATGCCGCTGCTAAGCTGCTTCGACTTATCTCAACACCATTTGTGGGTTCTGCATTGTTGATGAGATTCTTTAGGAACCGTCTGCCTTGCATATAAAAGCAGGCAATATGCATGTAATTATGATAATTTTTATCTACTGCAGTTATTCTCAATCAATCCAGTTCTACTTCACCATCATCGTAGCATTTCATTCTATGTCAAGCTATGGACTCGTTTGACATGACTTTTGCTTTTGCTTTTACCTTTACTTTCTATAGAAGAACTTCTGGAGAAAAGTTACCTTAGTTTTTATTTGGAAATTAATTATCAAAATAGTTTCCTATTTCAAAAAGTGATTTTAAAGAAAGTTACATTAGACCAGCTTTCTCTAAAAATTTTTCAAACTAGAAAAAGCACATTTATAAAATTAGCCAAATGATCAAAAGTCATGTCAAATGGACACTATGCCTAGTTGCATGCTGAATGAATGCATGCTTTTGGAAGCTATGCCTCCTACCTGACCAACATTTCCTATATCTCTGCTT